TTTTGGAATCCATTTGGTTATTTCTTGTATTATAATTCTTTGTTGTTGTTGTTTTTAGGTAAGTGAGGAACAGTATTGAACACAAGAGTTGAATGAGGCAGAGATGGGCCTGCTGCCTTCATGGAGCTTAGAGTTTTCTTCTGGAGATAGATATTAAGCAGGATAATGATTTACTTCGAGTTGTGACTAGTGTTACCAAGGAAAAATACAATGTGGGATGAGCATGTAATGTGATATAGGATTCATACCTTGTCTATGTGGAAAAGTAACATTTAGGCTGAGACATACATATTTGAGGCAGCAGTTAAGGGAGAGGTGTGTGTGTGTGTGTGTCTTCGAGTCAGAAGCAGGCATTAGGAATAGCCTGAGGCAACAAGCTGTGTGAGTAATTTAGGTGACTTGACTTAGCATATTTTAAAATTTTGCTAATTTGCAATGTTATATTGCTTTTTAAAAAATCACCTTACATATTTTAATGAATTCTGAAAAATAAACAATTTGTTTTGAGAACCATATCTTTAAGTCTAGAAATAGCTTTGAATGACAAGGCCTAACTTCATCATATGGGAAAATGCCATCTCTTAAAACTATTTTATGGATTGCTTGTCAGCCACAGAGTATGAGTTGGCCAAGAATTTCTGTTAGAGAAAATTGAAATTACTGTAAGGCATTTAATCATTTACATATATTTTCTGGCCTAATGAAACTTTTCCAGTTATTTGGAAATGTTAAGATTCTTTTTTAAGCCTGGTCAGGGTGGTTCAGTAGTTGAGTATTAGCCTATGAACCAGGAGGTCCCCATTCAGGGCTCATACCCAGGTTTCAGGCTTGATCCCCCGGAGGGTGGGGGGGAAGGTGGGAGTGTGCAGGAGGCAGCCAACCAATAATTCTCTCTCATCACTGATGTTTCTATCTCTCCCTCTCCCTTCCTCTCTGAAATCAACAACAAAATATATATATAAAATAAGAGCCTTTAAGTGTTTTATTTAAGCTTTGATTTCCCCTTGTGTAAAATTCGATATAATAAAAGGCTAATATGCAAATTGACCCCAACAGCGGAACGGCTGGTTGCTATGATGCGCACTGACAACCAGGGGGAAGACACTCAACACAGGAGCTGCCCCCTGGTGGTCAGTACACTCCCACAGGGAGTGCTCCGCTCAGCCACAAGCCGGGCTGACAGCTACAAGTGCAGCGGCGGAGGCAAGCCTCTCCCCTGCCTCCTCCACAGCGCTAAGGATTTCCGAGGGCTCCCAGGCTGCCAGAGGGATGTCTGACTACCAGCTTAGGCCCAATCCCCTGGGGCTCACTGGTGATTTCACTCGCTGCCTCCTTGCTCCCCGCGAGAAAGAGGAAGGAAAATGGACAAACGTGAAAGAGCCCCACGGGCGGCAACTGTGAACCAAGTGCAGGCACATGTGTGCGTGTGTGGCATTTGTCAACAACGTAAGAAATCCTCCAACTTGTGAAGAATTTCTGTGAGTGCCTTTGAGCTAAACTGTCCAGAAATGTCGCTCGTACGCCGGGAAGCACAATCTCAACAGTGGGAGATGATGTTCCAAAGAATGGCAATGTTGTCCCCCATATTTTATACACTCCAATCCAAAGAGTAGACTGTACGTGGGTTACATGAAATCCACTGGTGACATTTTAGGAAGGCGGGAGACCCGCCGCCCCCCCCCCCCCCCCCACACACACACAACATTTTTGTGCACCGGGCCTCTAGTGTAGATTATAATATGCATCTCAAAAATATATTTAAAAAAATTATTTTTTTAGGGTGTTCTTTCAAAACTTAATATTGAGGAGTTTTAAATTATGCTCCTCTTGAACTTGAAGCCTCAATTTTAGCAACTTGTTCTCTTGGGCCTGCTCTGTCACTGTTCAACTGATAAATCAGGGATGGATGTTTTTAAAGCCATTTCACAGGATTTATGAGGAATGTGAGGCATATTTATTTGATAATAGTGATCTTGATTAGAAAGAGCTTGGATCTGAAAGTTTTAAGTTCTGAAGCTGAGGTTTATATACCCAGAACATTATTTGGGTATTGTCTATTGCATTTTCTTATTTCTTAATATATTTAATAGTAAAGTGGAATTAAACTTGATTCCTTTTTTGTATAACTATTTTGAGAATTGTTAAATTTATATTGTTCTATATGCTTATAGTGAGCATTATGAATGTAAGTTATTCGTTAAATAATTTAAAACTCCTATATTCAAAGCAAGGTATGTGCTATTATAATTAGAAAGGACGGAAAAGGAGGCAGGACCATCTCTGTCTTATTCAGTTGGGGATTAAACCTACAACCTTACGGTGTACGGGAGGACACTCCAACCAACTGAACCATACTGTCCAGGGCTCACCCAGTTCTTGACCACAGGGGTGATTGTGTTGGAATAAACCACACGCAAAGTTGTATAATCTCCATTCCTCAAATAACATCTTAAAATTGTATTTCCAGTTACTGAAGTGCTGCCTTATTTTCTTAAACTTTTTAAAAAATATATTTTTATTTATTTCAGAGAGGAAGGGAGCGGGAGAGGGGGGGGGGGAGAGAGAGAGAGAGAGAAACATAC